TTACTTCTGCAGTCCGAAACACGCACGATACAGTACAGCCCCCGTTACTTCTGCAGTCCGAAACACGTAAGACATAGTACAGCCCCTATTACTTCTGCAGTCCGAAACACGCACGATACAGTACAGCCCCCGTTACTTCTGCAGTCCGAAACCCGTAAGACACAGTACAGCCCTGTTACTTCGGCAGTCCGAAACCCGTAAGACACAGTACAGCCCCCGTTACTTCTGCAGTCCGAGACACGTAAGACACAGTACAGCCCCTGTTACTTCTGCAGTCCGAGACACGTAAGACACAGTACAGCCCCTGTTACTTCGGCAGTCCGAAACCCGTAAGACACAGTACAGCCCCGTTGTGGTTTGGGTTCGTTTTCCTGTTTAGTGACTTACCATCTTTTGCTGTGCTTGCTCCTCATTTCCACACCGTTCATTTGCATACCTGGTGAAGTTATTCAAGTCCTTTTATATATTTGAGTTTTATTGTTACTCTTGAATTCAGAGGTTTTGTATGCGGGCATGTTTGTGTCACAGGCTGGCCTCCAACTTCTTATTTGACTTTTAAAAATTCATTTTAAGAATTGGTATTCAAAGCAGCAAGATGGAACTCGCTCCGTGGACCTGCCGGCCTCTGCCTCTCAAGTGTCAATGTTAAAGGCCTATGCCGCCATACTTGACCGGATGTACCTTCATGTTGATCTAATAGATTGCAGTATTTTAGACATTTTCTTTTGTATGGTCATTGGTGACACGGGTAATGTTAATTGATTCTAATTGTTTTCCTGTATCTGGGACCTTTGAATTCTAGTGCTGCTGTAATAGTTTGGTTTCTCCTCTCTGAGTCGTACTGGGGTGACCCCTAGAGAGAAGGCTGCTCACTAAGACCTCCAAATAAAACTAGAAGAGCTGTCCATCCAACCACATGAGTGAACCACAGCTTAGAAACACAGGACAGCCAGGGCTACTCTTGGAGATGAGAAAGGGAGAGAGAGAGAGAGAAAGAGAGAGAGAGAGAGAGAGAGAGAGAGAGAGAGAGAGAGAGAGAGAGAGAGAGAGAGAGAGAGAGAGAGAGAGAGAGAAAGAGAAACCTTACCTCAAAACAAAACAAAACAAAAAACGAGGCTACATGACTCCTCCTGAAGATCACTACTACTCAATTACTGACTCCAAACATAATAGAATGGTTGAAATGCTAGACAAAGAACGCAAAAGTCTAAGTTTTTTAAAGTTTTTTTTTAAACTTTTTTTCCTCATGGGTCAGTGTGTGTGCATATGCCAGGGTGTATTCCTGAGGCCAGAGGACAACGTGTAGAGGTCAATCCTCTCCTTCCACCACGTGCATTCCGGAGACTGGACTCAGGTCCTCTGGATTGGCACTGAGCGTCTTTACTTGCTGAGTTCTCTCACAAGTCCTGAAAAGTCATTAAAATGATCAGTGGCCAGCCAGGTGGTGGTGGCACACACCTTTAATCTCAGCACTCAGGAAGTAGAGGCAGGCAGATCTCTGTGAGATGAACAAGTTCCAGGACAGCTAGGGCTACCAAAAAAAAAATCAATTACCTCAAAGAAGACTAAAAAATAGCTGATAAATTAAGTAAGAAGTCAGTTCAGGAATTGGACAAGAATGTTAGCAACGTGGATGAAAAATTCAGCAAGGAAGCTGAGCATGGTGAGGAATGCCTTTAATCCCAGCACTTGGGAGGCAGATGCAGGTAGAGTATAGAGTGAGTTCTAGGACAGCCAGGGCTACCTAGAAAAACCTGTCTTGAAAAACAAATTTAAAAATCAGCAAGGAATTTGAGAGTTTGAAGAAAAGAGAAATACTAGAAATGAAATCTCAGTAAATCAAATAACAAAACAGCAGAAAGCATCACTAATATATCAAAAGAATATCAGTTATTGAAGATAAAACCGAGGAAAAGCCATATCCAGATATTAGGAAAGGAAAAAAGTCAATACAATTTTTCAAGAACTCTTGGAGATGATAAAGAGAGAGAGAGAGAGAGAGAGAGAGAGAGAGAGAGAGAGAGAGAGAGAGAGAGAGAGAGAGAACACGCTGAGAAACCATGGGGAAGACAGAGCTGAGATAAAAACTAATAGCACAGAAAACATACCCAGTAAAATATTGGAAAAATTCCATATCTAGGAAAAGACGTGAACAGCCACACATGAGACTTACATACCCCTGATAGATACGAGCAGGAAGAGCCTTTCCTCAGGCCAAGCAAGATGACTCAGCCTTAGACAAGCTTTCGACCAAGGATAATGACCTGAGTTCAATATCTGGAACACACGTGGTGGGACGAGAGAACTTAGACCGGTGGTCCTCTGACTGCCATATGCACACCATGGCATGTACATGTCCACAAGCATCAGCCAATCAATCACTGTAATAAAAGCAATAGGTTTGGGGAAATAGCTCAGTGGTTAAGACAGATTGATGCTTTTGCAGAGGATCTAAATTTAGTTCCCAGTAACCAGTATCTGGCAGCTCACAACCACCTGTCACTCCTTCACAGGCAACCAAACTCGTGTGTACATGCCCACAAAGAGACACATAAAAATCATTCTTAAAAATTAGTTGGTCATAATGGTGCATACTTTTTAATCCCAGTACTCAGCAAGCAGAGACAGGCAGATCCATAGTAAGTTCCAGGATAGCCAGGGCTACATACAGAGACCTTATCTCAAAATAAATGAAAAAAAAACATATCAAAAGGAACTGTGATTTGACACATTTATTATACTCCTTAAATTCATGAGTCTTCCCACAACTTGAATATTTTCATGTAGTTGAACTGAAACAAGTGAAAGGCTTGTCCACATTGCTCAGATGCTGTTCTCAACTGTTTCACATGTGAATATTAAGGCTGGGGGATGTCTTTCTGTATGCTGTGAATATGTTGTTCCCATTGGTTAATAAATAAGCTGCTTTGGCCTATGGCAAGAAAGCTTACAGCCAGGTGGGAAATCCAAGCAGAGATACAGAGAGACAAAGGGTGGAGTTGGGGGAGACGCTGCCAGCTGCCACTAGGAGAAGCAAGATGTGAAAGCACCAGTAAGCCACGAAGCCACGTGGCAAGGGAGAGATTAATGGAAATAGGTTAAATTGTAAGAGCTAGCTTGTTTAATCCCAGTACTTGGGAAGCAGAGGCAGGTGGATCTCTGTGAGTTCAAGGCCAGCCTGGGCTACAAAGTGAGTTCCAGGGAAGGCTCCAAAGCTACACAGAGAATCCCTGTCTCAACCCCCCCCACACACACACACCACACCAAAAAAACGTAAGAGCTAGCTAGCAAAAAGCTTGAGCCATAGGCCATACAGTTTGTAATTAATACAAGCCTCTGAGTAATTATTTCATAAGCAGCTGTGGGACCACAGGTGGGAGAGATTCGTCTGGACCTTGGGGCCAGGCAGGACCAGAGAAACATCTGGCTACACTCCATTCCATATATGTTATATAATATAATGTGTGTGTGTGTGTGTGTGTGTATATATATATATATATATATATATATATATATATATATATATGTTATAAAGTTCATTTGCCGGCTACAGAGGTGGCTTAGCAGTTATGCAGTTCCCCATTACCACAAATTATACAGTCAAGTTTCCCATATTTAGAGAAAATGCAGGGGTCAAAACATTTGGAATACAATGAATAGGCCATGCGCTGTGAAAACAACCTTTATGAGTATCTCCCCTGCCAGGTATGTGTCTTTTGTTTTTGAGACAGTGTCTTAGTAACTGTTCTATTGCTGTGACACCATGACCAAGGAAATTCTTATTTAAAAAAGAAGCAGCAGCAGCATTTACTGAAGGCTTGCTTACAGTTTTAGAGGGTCATGATCGTTTATTATGGTGGGAAGCAGACAGGTATGATGCTGGAGCAGTAACTGAGAGCTTTACACCCTGATCTGCAGGCAGCAGGCTGAGATATATTGGGCCTGGCATAGGCTTTTGAAACCTCAAAGCCCACCTCCAGTGACACACCTCCTCCAACAAGGCCACATCTCCTAATCCTTCCCAAAGTTACACTAATTGGGGACCAAGCATTCAAACATGAGCCTTTCTCATTCAAACCACCATAAACAGGATCTCAGTTAGCCCTGGCCAGCCTCAAACTTAACCATGGCAAGGGTAACCTTGAACTCCTAGTCCTCCTGCTCCCACCTCCTGAGTGCTGGGATGGCAGGTGTGCACTACAACACTCGATTTTATTTTTGTTTTGAGATGGGATCTCATGGCACCCAAGATGGCCTCAAACTCAGTATGTAGGCAATACTGGCCTTGACTTCCTGATCATTCTGGCCTCATCCCCCCAAGTGTTAGGATTATATTAGTGTGCCGTTATTTTCATGCTATTTGTCTTTTTAAGATTTATTCAGCAGGGCAGTGGTGTCGCATGCCTTTAATCCCAGCACTCAGTAGGCAGATCTCTGAGAGTTCAAGGCCAGCCTGGCCTATAGATCCAGTTCCAGGATAGCCAGGGCTACACAGAGAAACTCTGTCTCAAAAAAAAAAAAACCCAAAAGATTTATTAATTATTTTGTGTGCATGAGTGTTTAACCTACGTGTATTTATGTGCAACACATGACTGTATGTTGTCCTCAGGAGCCAAAAAAGGGCATCAGATGAGCTGGAACTGGAATTACAGACATGATTATAAGCCACCATGTGGACACTGGGACTCAAATACTAGGTCCTCTAGAAGACTAACAAATGCTCTTAACCGCTAAGCCATCATTTTGCCCACACCCCTTGATTTGATTTGTAAAGGTGTGATATTGAAGAAAAATGTTTGAAAACACAGAAGACAGACAAGACCTTGCTGTGTAGCACAGGTCTTACACTCAATCCCACTCCCACCTCTCAAACTGTAGGGTTATACAAATAAGGGCCACTGCAATCAAACCTGCATGTAACTAAAGCTTTTGGGTAGTCCAAAGGTTCATTCATATTGAATATATTTGTTAGAGCTAATGCAACAAAGTAACAGACCAGGTAGCTTAAACGTGGTTATTTATTTCTTACAATTGGGAGGCTGGAAATCAAAGATCAGCATAACTCAGGTAGTTTCCTCTGGAGGTCATAGTAGAAAGACACGTGGTAGCCATCTGTCTCACTTGCAGAAGGCCATTTGAAGACTCCCATGGTCTTCTCTCTGCATCCTGCTGCACCTTAACCTTCTGAGGACATCAGACATCTGACCTAACAGGACTCATTGCAGCTTCCTTTTCTTTTTATTATCTTTACTTTATGTGTATAAGTGTTTTGCCTGCACATGTGCACTCTATTTATGCTGAGTGTTCACAGAGGCCAGAAGAGGGTGCCAGATGCCCTGAAACTACAATTATGGATGGTTGTGAGTTGCCATGTGAATGCTGGGAATAGAACCTGTGTCCTCTGCAAGAGTAGCAGGTGCTGGTAACTGTTTGAGCCATCTCTACAGTCTCTCATTTCAATTTTTAAAATCTATTACTCTTGGAGACTGGCAAGAGGGCATGTGTGCCACAGCATTCATGTAGATGGAGATCACAGGGCAGCTGTTAAGTGCCAATTCTCTCCTTCCACTGTGGGGAACCAGGGATAGAAAGCAAGTTGTCAGTACTGTATGGAGAAGGCTTTATCTACTGAGCCATCTCAACAGCCCTCATTTCAATTCTTTGAAATTGTATTTATTACTGTGGCATATGTGGGGAAGTGGGTAAACATACGGGGTCAGAGGACAACTTTAGGGCATTGGTTCTTCTACCTTTGTGAGGCAGGGCAGGGTCTCTCTTGTTCTTTCTGCCATGCTGCATACTCCAAGCTAGCTGCCCTGCAAGCTTCCAGGTGATTCTCCTGCCTCTGCCTCCCATCTTGTAGGACTGCTGGGAATACAGATGCATGCCACTATATCTGTCTATTTTACATGGATGTGGATCAAATTCAAGCTGTCAGACATTCACAAGTGCTTTGATCCACTGAGCCATCTTGCCAGCATTCATTTTAATTTTTCTGACATGGAGTATTTGTGTTGCCCAGTATAGTTTTAAATTTATCCCCCATCTTCAGCCTCCTGAGCAGCTACCACACAGCACTGCTCCAAGCTATGTATATAATTTTAATATTTTCTCTCCAGTGTGAGCACCATCATGTCTTCAAAGTAAACTAGAGCAAATAATGGCTTTCTCACATAGCATACATCAACTAGGCTTCTCACTAGTGACTTCTTTCATGCCTTCGAAGTGAACGAGGATGACTGTAGGCTTTTCCACACTGCTGACACTTATATGGTTTTTCTTCAGTGTGAGTGTGACTTATTTCATGAATTCTGAAGGAACTGGGACAGATGAAGGCTTTCCCGCACTCCTTACATTCATAGGGCTTCTCTCCAGTGTGGGTTCTTTCATGTATCTGAAATGAAGTGGAATGACTGAAGGCTTTCCCACACCGTTTACATTCATAGGGTTTTTCTCCAGTGTGGATTCGCATGTGAATTTTAAGGTGGGTGGAATAGTTAAAGGCCTTCCCACATTCCTTACATGTGTATGACTTTTTGGCATTGTGAGTTCTCATGTGATTATTAAGACATGAAGGATATCCAAATGCTTTCCCACAAATCTTGCACTCACATGTCTTCTCTTCAGCATGCATTTTCAAATGTCCATTAAGATTTGAAGAGATAGCAAAGGCTTTCCCACATTTGACACACACAAAAGGCTTTTCTCCTGTGTGAGTTCTTATATGTTGAATAAGTCGTGAGGATGTAAGGAAGGCTTTCCCACATTCCTTACATTCATAGGGCTTATCGCCATTGTGAGATCTTACATGTATACTAAGGCCTGAGTACTGAGTGAAAGCTTTCCCACACTGATTACATACATAGGGTTTCTCTCCAGTGTGAGTTCTTCCATGTATCTGAAATGAATTGGAATAATTGAAGGCTTTCCCACATTCCTTACATTCATAGGGCTTCTCACCAGTGTGAGTTCGCATGTGAATATTTAGATATGCAGGGTATCTATAGCCTTTCCCACATTCCTTACATCTGTAAGGTTTCTTTGCATTGAGAGTTTCTATAAGCACAGCAAGTCTTGAGTTTATAAAACTTCTCCCATATTCATTCCAGTCATAAATTCTGTCTCCACTGTGAGTTCTTCTATGTGTCTGAAGGTGTGACTGATTAATAAAAGACTTCCCACAGTCACTGCATTCAAAAGATTTCTCTTGTGTGGCAATTTTCTGATTAACCTTAACTGGGGTCATACAGATTTCTTCATTCTGATTGAACTCAGAAAGTTTCTCACCAGCACAGTTTTTCTTCTGAAGCATTACAAGGTCTTTTCTATACTGACTACAGTCATAATCATCCTGTGTAGTTTGAGTTTCCATATGTGTCTTAAGGGATAAGAGTTCACTGAAGAAGTCTCCAGATTTCGTCCAGTTACAGCGCTCCCTTCCATTCTGGCTTCCTGTCTGCTGATAAAAGGGAAGAACAACATTTCTTTTTGGCAGCCAATTGGTAAGGTTATAACCATTTGATAACAAAACATTATGATTATTTTTCACTACATGCATACAGTTCATACTCGTGAATTGCTCTCAAGTGGTGTGATTAAACACTTCCTCCAGAATGCTGTTATCCGGTCTAATCTTTAAAAGATTTCTGTACCATTCCAAGAAAAAGATGTAATTTTGTGTGAATTCCAAAGCAGTGAGTTTCATTACACATCATGGGCACAATTTAATACCATTTCTTCAGACACTTGCTCTTGTGTATTATCTGCTTCTCTCAACCCTCCTTTAATGGGATTCCTAGTTTTCTCCTTCGAAGGGCTTCAAGCACACCAATTAGGTACTGTACAAGAGACACATCTCTAGCCGCTAATTTTCTTTGAGAATAAAAATAAGATAAATTTTTTATTCTTACCATTTGCATCCCATTGGATACGTTATTCCTCAAAAATTCCTGTTGGGGTGCTGAACATTTGGTTTCAAGCTGCACTTTCCATTCTGAAGTAAAACAGAAAAATAAATGTTAAGAGAAAGAAATGGAAAACGGGAGTTAAAAATAAGGCTTGGGTTGGAGAGATGGCTCCGTGGTTAAGAGCCCTGACTGCTCTTCTAGAAGACCCAGGTTTAATTCCCAGCACCAACATGGCAGCTAAAAACTGTCTCGAACATCAATATCTGACACTCTCACATAGACATCCATGCAGGCAAAACACCAATACAAATAAAATAAAAATAAATTATCTTTAAAAAAATAAGGCTCATTTATTTTTATTTTGAATTTTAAAAGGTAGAAAAAAGTAGAAACAGATGAGGTTATTTTTCTGTTCTATTTTAAGACTAAGCAGCCCAGCCTTGAACTCACTACACAGCTCATACTATGCTGACTTCATAACCATTCTGCCTCAGATTCCTGAATAGAAGGATCACAGCAATGTGCCATCATGCCAGGCAAAAACAATAACACTGGATCAAACTTTTAGATTATATTAAAAGTTAATTATATAAAAATTAAAACCAATGGTAAACAGAAAGAAATTATAAGGGAAAGAGAGTAGAAAATTTCAGGGAAATTTAAGTAGAAAAATCTCTCAAAGCAAGAAGATTAAGTAAACTAAAAGAATATTGGAAGTTGAAGATTTTCCTTCTTGCCTCAGAGTTCTGAGACAAATTTTATCTTGAAGAACTTCATTATAGGAGCTGAGCTGGTTAAAAAAGAGTAAAGTCTTATTTTACAAGTGTGAGGACCTGAGTTCAGATGCCCAGAACTCACGTAAGGCTGAGCATGATAGCATGTGTCTGCAATTTCAGTGCATCTATGACAAGATGCCCAGAACTCACGTAAGGCTGAGCATGATAGCATGTGTCTGCAGTCCCAGTGCATCTATGACAAGATGGGGGCGGAGACAGGGAAATCCCCTGAGGCTTGCCGGTCTGGCACATGCGGTGGCAAACAGAGACACTGTCAAAACGCAGTGGAAGGTGAGGGCCAACACCAAAGGTTGCCCTCTGACTCCAAAATACATACCGTGGCAACCCATACATGCACACATCACACATACATATACGAGGGTTTTAAGGTTTTTTAAACATTCATTCATCCATTCATTCACATACTGAGTATATGTATGCACACATGCACATGTGTCACAGCATGCAGTAGAGGTCAGGGGACTTTGGGAGTTGGTTCTCTCTTTCCACCGTGTGGGTTCCAGGGATTGAACTCAAGTTGTGAGGCTTGGCCGTACATGCCTTTACCTACTGAGCCGTCTCTCCAGTCCAACACAAGAGTTTTGTTTTTATTTTAAGTTTATTTCAGTTGCAAACATACTAAACTTTCATTAAATAGAATTTCCAAGCCCAGTGATGGTGGTACACACTTTTAATCCCAGCACTCAGGAGAGAGACGGCCGGCAGATCTCTGTGAGTTCGAGGCCAGCCTTATCTACAGAGTCAGTTCCAGGATAGCCAGGGCTACACAGAGAAGCCCTGTCTCAGAAGAAAAAAAGAATTTCCAAGAATACTGACCTGGGAAAACTATCTTCTGACCTGTACTAAACTCTTCTTGTTCCAACCAAGAGACCAGACTGGGTTTGATGAGCTGATATCCTGTGCACAAGGTAAGACACATTGGTGAGAAGGCACAGACAGAAAAATGGCATAACTTCCCAGGGTTCACGAATCTGAATTTGTGAGAAAAAAAAATTGCTTTTTTTTCTCCAGTGTTTGGAGACAAGCACTGGCTTCAAGCTCACAGCAATAGTCCTCTTTTGGCTTCCCACATGCTTGAATTCCAGAAGTGTGCCATCAACCCTGACTAGGAATTAGAGTTGTAATGATAACATATATTATTTTTAAGGGACTAATAATACAAGTACCACCTGTCTATGCCTCAAAAGTTCAATTTGCTCTGGAGCCTAAGACCCCAATTAATTTAGTCACGTACACATTTACAAAGCATCAGAGTTTTCTTTCTGTAGTACAGGGGACTGCACCTAGGGCCTTGCAAGTGATAGGTAGGTGCTTGACCACTGAGTCATATCTAACCCAGAATTTGACTTTTATTCAAACAGGAAGTAAGAACTGCAACAGCCAGGCAGTGGTGGTGCATGCCTTTAATCCCAGGAGGCAGCGGCAGGTAGATCTCTAAGTTCAAGGCCAGCCTGGTCTACAGAGTGAGTTCCAGGACAGCCAGAGCTACACAGTAAAACCCTGTCTCAAAAACCAAAAGCAAAAGAGAGAAAGAGAGAGAGAGAGAGAACTGCAACAAAGAGATCTTTGTTCCTCTAGGGAAATTAACTACAAGTGGTTCATATATAGTATTGTTCATCACAGTCATCAAGATAATCAAACTTTCTAATTTACTTATTATTTTGCATGTGTGTATAAGTGCTCATGTCTGTGGGCGTGCTTCCGTATATGTGGTGGTCAGTATCCCACCTGACTTTTACATGAGAGCTGGGGATCTAACACAGTCCTCTTGCTTGAGCAGTAACCACCTTACTAACGGAGTCATCTCCCCAGCCCCTTCCTTAATTAAATATATGCATTTGTGGGTATGGATGTGTGTGATGTATGTGTACGTGGTATATGCACATCTGTGTGCATGCCTGTGCCCACATGCAAAGGACAAAGCGGGTGTTGGGTGCCATTCTCTGTCACTCTCTGTCTCACTTGTGTATGGCAGTCTCTCCTGGAACCTTGGCTTATGTTTTTCCAGCTAGGCTGGGAGCCAGCAAGCCTCAGTGATCCTCATTTCCAACCTCCCCCCATTCTATACTAGGGTTTCAGGTGTGTGCAAGACCACAAGTCGCTTGTTATGTAAGTACTGGATCCCCACTCCAGGTCCTCAACAAGGTCTCTTAACCACTGCAACATCTCTTTTTTTTTTTTTTACTTTTTATTTTTATTTTGCAATACAATTCAGAGCCATCTCTTAAACTCCAAGAGAACTTATTGACACACAAATGATATAAGATTTTATACTGACGTCTCTAATTTAGGTTATCAACATGGAGAGGGAAAATATATACTCTCTTTTTGGAGTGAGGGGCGGGGTTCAAGATAGGGTTTCTTTGTGTAGCATGGATGCCCTGGGAATTCGCTCTGTAGACCAGGATGGCCTCAAACTCAAAGATCTGCTGGCCTCTGTCTCCTTAGTGCTGGGACTAAAGGCATGAGCCACCAACACCCAGCAAAAATATATACAGACTTGGCCTTTTTGAGAACTACCCCAGTATATTAAGACATATTTAGGGTGGTATATACTTTTAATCTCAGCATTCAGAATGCAGAGCCAAGGGTAATATCTGTGAGTTTGAGGTTAGCCTGTTTTACAGCTCATGTTCCAGGCCATCAAGGGCTATAATGAGACCCCCTGTTTCAAAATACAGCAAAGCAAAAACCAAAAAAGTAAGTATTTAGGGATGGAGCTGTGTCTTACTCAGAACCACCATCACCATTCCTGAAACACAGTCCATGAGAGGCTACAGGGAGCAACAGCAGACCTACCTACTGACACCAGGTTCTGGTAGTTCTCCAGCATCACATCTCTGTAGAGGCTTCTCTGGGCTAGGTTCAGTGAGGACCACTCCTCTTGGGTAAAGTCCACAGTCACATCCTCAAAGCTTACTAACTTCTGAAATATTGAAGACATGCTGGGTTTAGCCAAATAAGATCTTTGTTAATGAACATGGGAGGATGAGGAAGCAGGACCCATCCTCTATAGAAAATTTCCTGGCCCCTCTGTAAACTCGTGTGTGTGTGTTGTATATGCATGTATACTGATAGGTATACTTGCCTGTGCAAGTTCATGTGAAGGCCAAAGGATGATGTTGGGATGACTTCCTCAATGAATTCTTCACCTTATTTTCTGAGACAGGGTTTTTCACTGAACCTGGAAATTGCTGTTTCAGCTAGACCGGCTGACCAGAGAGACCTGAAATCTGCCTGTCTCCACCCACATGACATTATAGACATATGCAGCCCACTCTCTTAATTTCCTCAAGTTACATGCCACTGCTGAACTGGAACTGGTACTAGCAGTACACAAGAAAATACCATATTTCTCTGTATTAAGCACAGTAGCCAGCACTTCCTAAAGATGTGAGGAATGTGCATACATGAATAAATGTCTGTAGAAAAATAAATTGTCATCTATCTTATCATCTGCCAGAGAACTTAACAAAGGAAGAAACAATCAGTTGACCAGGGACCAGCAAGATGGCTCAGTGGGTAAAGTCACTTGCCACCATGCCTGATGACCTGAGTGTGATCCTCAGACACACATGATGCAAGGAGAGAACTGACTTTTGCAAGTTGTCCTCTGAATCCACACACTGTGGCATGTGCTCATATAAACATTTGCATCTACACATTCATGTGCACATACATATATACAGACACACACATACACACACACACACACACACACACACACACACACACAAATGTAATAATAAAAGAAACATGAGGAAGCTGGGCGATGGTGGCATGTACCTTTAATCTCAGCACTCAGGAGGCAGAGACAGGTGGATCTCTGTGAGTTCGAGGCCATCCTGGTCTACAGAGTGAGTTCCAGGATAACCAGGGCTACATAAAGAAACCTTGTCTAGAAAAACCAAAAATAAAAACAAACAAACAAAATGAGGGCTGGAGAGATGGCTCAGAGGTTAAGAACACTGGCTGCTCTTCCAGAGGTCTGGAGTTCAATTCCCAGCAACCACATGGTAGCTCACAACCACCTCTAATGAGATCTGGTGCCCTCTTCTGGCCTGCAAGGACACATGCAGGCAGAACACTGTATACATAATAAATCTAAAAAATAAAAATAAAAATGAAATAAAGAAAGAAAGAAAGAAAGAAAGAAAGAAAGAAAGAAAGAAAGGAAGAAAGAAGAAAAGAAGAAACATGAGTTGACACCATGAAGGTAAAACCAGGTTATTACTGAAAAATCAAGATTAACTGTAAGTTTCCAACTCACTTAACAGGAAAGTTTTTTTGTCATAGTCACTGTCAACTTGACACAAACCTAGACATATCTGGGAATAGGGAGTCTCAACTGTGGAACTGCCTTCATCAGAGTGGCCTGGGGGGCATTTTCTTGATTGGCGATTGATGAAGGAAGGCCCAGCCTACTGCGGGTGGTACCATTCCTGGGCAGGTGGGCCTGGGATGTATTAGAAAGGTAGCTGAGCAAGCCAGGGGCATGAGCCAGGAAACAGATTCCACCATTGGTCTCTGCTTCAGTTCCTGCCTCAAGTTCCAGCCTTGGCTTCCCTCAGTGGTGGATGATGATCTGAGAATTGTAAACTGAAATGAACCCTTTCTCTCCCCACCTCCTTATGTTTATCAGGGCAACAGAAGGCGAACTATGGCAGGCTCTAACTCCCAGGAAACTAGAACAGGGAACAAGAGCCTTAGGTGAGGCTCTATTTGCTCTAGAGACAAGTTTGTCCAGAGGAAACTGTCTACAGGTAGAACATTTTGAAAGTGTGTATATGTGTGTATTTTTTTACCTGATACTTTGTCAGGCAGTCAATCAACATCCTTTCTGCTGATACCTTTTCTTGTTGAAGGCAGACTGAGTCCCCTGAAAGATCTTAAGGAAAAGGAAGCAGGTATGAACACTCAGTTGTCCAGAATCTCATTCAAAGGCACAGAAGTCATTCCACCCTACTACAAAAATACAAAAGCCTTATGTAATCAATCTAACTACAGACTGATGCCTCCCTCCCTCCTATTTTCCATCTTTCTTGTTCTGTGTCTCTCAATATATCCCTCTCTCCTCCCTCTCTCTCACTCATTCCTCACCTCTCTCTCTCTTTCTCTTTCTCTCTCTCTCTCTCTCTCTCTCTCTCTCTCTCTCTCTCTCTCTCACACACACACACACACACACACACACACACACACACACACAAGTGCTCTTCCCCACCCCTACATGCCACAGAATGCTAGGACAGTCCCGTCCCATCTACAACCTGAAAGAAGGATGACAAGGAATGCTGCTTATTGGGGTAACTATTAACAACAGCCTCATTTCACAAGTAAAGCAGCCTGATGCCCTGAAAACACTACTTTATCAGGGCTGGAGCTGGAGCTCAGTCAGTACAGTACTTGCCTAGGATGCATGGAGACCCATGTTCCATCTTAGCATAAAAATGGGTATGATGGTGCATACCTGTCAGCCCAGTTCAAGAGGTGGAAGCAAAAGGATCAGAAATTCAAGGCCATCATTAGTTACCTAGCAAATTCAAGGCCACCATGAGCTGCACGGGGCCCTATCTCAAAAAAGAAAAGTATTGGGGGTGGAGAGATGGTTCAGTGACTAAGAGCACTGATGTGTCTTCTAGCAGACCCAGGTTCAATTCCCAGGCCCCACATGGCAGCTCACAACTGTCCAGTCCCATCTGACACCCTTTTCTGGCCTCCATGGGCATGATGCATTGACACACATACACATAAAAACAAATAAAATCTAAAACAAAAAAATGGTACTTTGTCATGATTATAAAACTTATAATGAAGACTTCGCCTTTTCCCTTGTAACACACCCCAGAGATGTTACAAATATTCCCGTGGGCCAGCAAGTGGCACTTGCTTCCAAACCTGTCAACCTGAGTTCAATTCCAGAGATCCACAAGGTAGGAGAGAGCACTGACTCCTAAAAGTTGTCCACACACACACACACACACACACACACAAAGAAACAAACAAACAAAGATTCCTTTAAAAAAAAAAGTAATGCAGTGAATGACTGAGGAAAACACCCAGTGTGGACCTCTGATCTCCACATGCACACACCAATGTGCACATACACATTAACATGTGTACACACACACACACACACACACACACACCAATGTGCACATACACATTAACATGTACACACACACACACACACACACACACACACACACACACACACACAGAAAAAAAAAACCCAAATATAACAAAATCCTCAGAGCACATTTCAAATACTAGATCCTTGGTTTTTCCAATCATATAAATACCCACTCTCTTCATTGGCACGGGACCAAGGCAGACCAACTCAGAATTTGCACAGCTGTTACCTATGGAGTATCTTCTCAAAGAACTACCTTTTTGTTTTTAAATTTTACATGTACTAGTGTTCTGTTTGCATATATGCCTATGCATCACGTGTGTACCTAATGTCTGCAGGGGTCAGAAGAAGGCATTTGGTCCCCTGGAACTGGAGTTACAGATAGTTGTGAGCCACCATTTGGGTGCTGGGAGCTGGAGTCTTCTGCAAGAGCAACAAGTGTTTTTTTAACAGTTGAGCCATCTCTGCAGTCCTGAGAACTACCTTTTTAAAGTATACAAAGAATCAGCAACATAAACTATTCTGACCTAGACTACAGTGCTGGGAATCCCTAGGGGAACCTTAGGAATTCTTCTAAGACACAGAATCATCAGACCTTACCATGGGATGAATCAGCTGCTGCCATTCTGTAACATGGAAGTGTGTCTGAATACTCCTTTGACTGGGGTTATCATCACTTTAGTGCAGCTGCTGAGTTTCAGTGGACAGAAGCACTCTCCATTACCTGTTGTACACAACCATTAGCATTCCTGTAGTATCAATCATTAATTAACATGTCTCTGACACATGAATTCTAGTGATACTAACTGCCATTTACTGAGGAATGCTATGTAGCACACTGTGCAAGGAGTGTGTGTGTGTGTACGTGTGTATGTGTGCATGTATGTGTTCAATTATCATTATAACCAGCCTTCACAGTAAATACAACTGCCCTAAAAAGACCTACATTCAAAGAAAGCCAAGTATGGTAGTGCATGACTGCAATGCTAGTGCTGTGGAACAATCTTTTTGTACACTGTGAAAATTTGTTGCTCTCATTGGTTTAATATAGGGCTCTCATTGGTTTAATAAAGAGCTACAGCTAGGCAGGTAGAGTTTAGCAGGACTTGTGGACAAAAAGAGAGTATGAGGATGAAGACGGGCAGAGTCACCAGCAAGATGCAGAGGAAGCAGGAGATGAACACGCCATGCTGAAAAAAGGTACCACTATGCAGTAGAACATAGATAAGAAATATGGGTTTAGTTGAAAGAGCTATTTAGTAACAAGCCTCAGCTACCAGCCAAGCATTTATAATTAATAATAAGTCGTTGTGTGGTTATTTGGGAGTGGGCTGGAGAGACAGAAAACTCCACCTACATGCCAGTCCTTGGGAGGCTGAGTCAGGGGAAATGCTGCAAGTTCAAAGCTAGCCCAGGATACAAAACAAAATCTTGCCTCAAAAAAAAAAAAAAAAAAAAAATAGGGAGCTGGCAAAATGGCTAAGCAGGTAAAGCCACTTGCCTCCAGACATGTAAGCTTGACAGCTTAAGTCATATCTCCAGGATCCATGTAAAGGTGGAAGGAAAGAACCAACTCTACAAACTGTCTTCTGATCTCCACTCGTGAAGTGATATGTGCACCCTTCTCCCTACATCATGCATTACATACACACAGAGAGAAAATAATCATAAAATTTAAAACAGAACAAAACAGGAAAGGATCTATATTCAGAGAACATTAGCAATTGCTCATTTACCATCCAGTTAAAAAATGATGATGCAGGACTTGAAGGCAGGTAAGAGTTTTTTCATTAGTATGCAAATTTGCTCTTATCTTTAATGAGTGGTAAAGTTATATGTACAACAAGCAGATTGTTATTTTCTTATTTATTTGTATGTCTTCTGTTTATGTGCACATGTAGAGGCCAGAAGGTGTCTGATGCCCTTTCCTATCTTTCTTCATCCATTCATTTAAAGTGGTGTCTTTCTCTGAACCTGGGGCTCACATTTTCTCAGCTATGCTGAAAGCCAGCAAGCTCTAGCGATCCTCCTGTCTCCATCCTTTCTTAGGACTGGAGTTACACGTGTTAACTGGACACCTGGTTTGATACATGAGGCTCAGATCCACAGCAAATGTTCTTAAACACTGAGCCATCTTTATGGTCCCAAAATAATTCTTTTGTTTTCAGGGAGATTTTTGTTGGTAGTATTTGATTCTGTTTTGCAGGTGTGGAAATCAGGATCTCATGCAGGGCAGACAAGAGTTCTACCACTGACCTATATCCCAGTCTTAAATGTTAAGGTATTTGGGCAGGGGAAATCTCAGAATACAATTTAAGCAGTAAGCAACCTCAGCAAGGTCGTGGTAGGAAATACGGAATTCAAAAGACCTGTCTTCTCCCCCTAGTACAGGGAAGGCTAGAGCAAAATCAGACCTATTTAACACCTATTTTATAGGTCTTTTCAGAGAACCATCTTTTCAGTTTTTTGTTTTAGGGTTTCTGATTAGTTGCCCGAAACAAGATCTCACTATATAGCCTAGGCTAGCTTCAAACTCATAGCAATCTTCCCATTCAGTTTCTCAAATCTTAAGATTATAGGAAAGTACCAACAGCATTCCTTCCTTAGGTAATAAAAGGTAGGAATAGTGTTTCATATGTTTAATTTTTTTCATCCATGGCTAACCTGGAACTTGTTCTATAGACCAGGCTGGTGTTGAACTCAGGAATCCACCTGTCTCTGCCTCCCAAGTTGTTTTTAAAAAACAAAAGAAAACAAAAGATCTCATGTCCTAGGCTGGCCTCAAACTCACCACATAGCCAAGGTTAGCCTTGACCTTTTTTTTTTTTTTTTTTTTTTTTTTTTTGGTTTTTTCGAGAGAGGGTTTCTCTGTGTAGCTTCGAGACTTTCCTGGAACTCACTTGGTAGCCCAGGCTGGCCTCGAACTCACAGAGATCCGCCTTAGCCTTGAACTTTTAATCCTCTTACCTCCATCTCTCAAGTGCTAGAATCAACACAGATGTGTGCCACCATGCCCAGTGAATGTGGTAATGCTGATCAAACCCAGAGTTTTGTGCATGCTAGGCAAGTATTCTACCCACTGAGTTTTATCCCCAGCCCTCCTTTTGGTCATCATTAAGCATTATGTATTTAAAAAATAATTCTGGGGATTGGAGATATGGCTCACCTGTTAAATCCTAGGCTCATAACCAAAAATTAAAAAAAAAAAACATTTTGTTAAAATTTAATGGCAAAAAAATTAATAGCAGTTGGCCAGGTGGTGGTGGCATGCCTTTAATCCCAGCACTAAGGAGGCAGAGGCAGGTGGATATCTGGTCTGCAATAGTAAGTTTCAGGATAGCCTGAGCTACATAGTGGTGAGAGACCCTGTCTCAAAAAAAAAGTGTGACCTGTACCTCCAACAAAACAATGGCCTTTACCTCCAAGCCTATCTCTGAGATCCTAACATGAACTTCAGATTTAAACAGAGGGCAAGAGACATGCAAAGCTAAGCAGTCCTGGTTAGTGTGTGGTACCCCTCATGATTCCCCAGGCTCCAGTTCTTCCTGCAATATGATCTGACCTCTTTCCTGGGGACAAGCCTTCCCCAGCCCCACTCCTCACACACACACCAGCTCCCAGCCTTTTTCTTCTCCCAACATAAGAATTTTTTTTTTTTTTTTTTTTTTTTTTAGTTTTTGAGACAGGGTTTTTCTGTGTAGTTTTGGTGCCTGTTCTGGATCTCGCTCTATAGACCAGGCTGGCCTCAAACTCACAGAGATCCACCTGCCTCTGCCTCCTAAGTGCTAGAATTAAAGATGTACGCCACCACCACCCAGCTATGAATTCTTTAATAAGTTTTTTTCAAATGTATTTTGAGTGTTTTGTTTGCATGTATGTATGTACACTATGTGCATACCTGGTGCCCAAGGAAGTCAGAAAATTCAAGTATTGGATTCTTCTGGAACTGGAGTTACAGATGGTTATAAACTACCATGTGGGTGCTGGGAACCAAACACTGGTCCTCTGCAAGAGCAGTAAGTGCTCTTAACAGTTGAGCCAGCTCTCTAGCACCCCACACACATGAACTGTTAGTAGTTTTGGTCTAAAAGTGTAATTACTATTAATTATTATTGTGTGTTGTGGGAATCAGGAGATGCCGGAGACGGCACAGGAAAAGCCTGAGGTGATGGCAGTGGATTCTGTGCTGCAGGTACCCGAGAATGAGGACATCCATCCCTCCGGGCCTGCCCTGCCAGACATTCTACTAAGCCTGCCTTCTGTGGGCCAGAAGAAAACCACCCTTGTGTCCTGAGGGCAGACTTTATGGCGTATGCATGTCATGTTCTCACCCATCCAACTGTTACTGGTTCTTGTAATCCTCCTAATCTACTTGTTCTTTATGATTTTCTCTCTCTCCTGCAGTGGTTTCCATGAAATTAGAAATGATATTGAGATTGTGACAGTGGCAGGAGTTAAAGCTGTTATGCGGGTCATGGGAAAAACCTGAAGCCTGAGGAAGCTCTTCAGGCATGGAACAATTATACAGAGTGCAATTGTTCAGAATTATAGCGTATGGGATGCGATACAGAGTCATGCTGAATTAAATTTAGTGCTTGTGCAAAATTCAACCTTAGATGACCCGAGAACTCTGCCTGTGCATGCTAAGCACAGTCCCAAAGAAGCAATCATTTAAAACCCAGAAGGCTGGTGGCAGAAAACTGTAGATGGAGTGACATATAGATGGGATAACAGACAAGAGTTGTCCAGAACTAGTTAAAAGACACTTGACGAATTACAGAGTGACGAAGAAGGACTTAAGCTGAGAGGAAGCTGACAGTCTGGTACCTTAAACCACTGCTTGTACTTCTGTGCTTTCTAAGTAGATGGCCTCTGGGGTGATTGCCTCAGATGTTCTGATAATTATCAACCTGCAAAAGAATAAGCTGGTACGCTTTGGTTTTCTGCCTGAGAACTTCTATGTGCAATCAAGGGGCATGGGGTACACTTTGCTGATTTCCAAAAAGAACTTTTGAAACTATTGTGAAAAACCCAATCACCTGTTGAATTTTCTCATCCCCTATTTCCTTGTATTATTACAATAAAAGAGTGGGGTTGAGTGGGATCGGGAGAAGGCGGAGAAGACGCACACCTCCAGATCTGACAAGACTCATCAGCTTGCACCAACCCATGTGTCCGAGTCCTTTTCTTGTGCCTGCCAGACATCCCTGCTCTTCAAGACCCTCGAAACTGCTGAGGCTGGTCCCCAATAGGTGTATGACTGAACATGTGCAGAAGTAGAAGGCAACGTTCAGAAATAGGCTCTCTTGCTGTGAACTCTAGGGATTGAAGTTGGGCTGTCAGACTTGGGAGTAGGCACCTTCAGCTGCTGAGTCATCTCACTGGTCCTTTACATATTATTAATTATTATTATTAGTGTGTGTGCTGTGTGCAGGTACATGTGCCATGGTATACAGAAGATGGCAAGCAAACAAAACTGGGAAGCTGGTTCTCTCTTTCAACTGTGGGGTCCAGGGATTAAATTCAGATCAAGCTCACACAGCAATTTTTACCCACAAGCTTTACCCACTGAGTCACCTCACCACCCTGTTTTAAAGTTTTTATTATTGCTATATGTATGTGTGGGTGTGCTGATGGTCCATGGCACCCATGTAGAGATCAGAGGACAAGTTTTGGGAGTTGGTTCTCTTCTTCCACCATGTGGGTCCCAAGGATTGAGCTCAGGACGTCAGGCTTGGCACCAAGCACCTTTACCACTGAGCCATCTTACTGGTCTTCTTTCTCTTTTTGATCATCCCAAGTGCCAGATTACAGATGTGCACCTTCATTCCTGCTAACTCAATTGTGTGTGTGTGTGTTGTATGTGCATGCATGTGCGAAAGAGCATGCCACATGTGTCCAAGTGCCTGGAGAGGCCAAGAAGTTGTCAGGTACTTTGAAACTAGAATTACTGATGGTCTGACTTAGGTGCTGGGAACTAAACTTGGATCCTCTGGAAGAACAGCAAATGCTCTTAACTGCAGAGACATCATTCGAACACCACAACTCAGTATTTTAAGCAGCAACTGGGAATGCTGACACTTGTCATCTGGGTTATGCAGATATAAAAGATGAGCAGAACAGACTGACTTAGCTCCCACAGGTTTATAAATCTAACTGGAGACAAAGCACATCTATATTCCTAATCTGAGGGATGGGGCAAGAGGCCCAGTTCAAGGTCATTCCTGGCTATACAGTGAGGTTAAAGACAATCTTGAAAAACAAACAAAAAACAAAGTAAAACAAAATCCATACAATTAGAAAGAGTTCATTAGACATATGACAAGGTTTGGAACACAGTTCACTAGCCAGACACTCTGTTTTGCCATCAGCACCCAAGAAAACAGATCAGACACCTCTATCTAAAATCAAGATAATGTTTTCAATCTTGCATGAGAGCCCAGGGTGGCCTTGAACTTTCTACCCTCCTCTTAGTTTTTGCAGTGCTAGAATTATACTCCTGCAGCTATTTGATCAAAGTTAAGTGTTGAGAACATTGGTTATTAAAACATAATTTTTCAACACCCTTGTCTGCTCTCTATAAGAAATATAGAGATTTCTCCCAGCACTCGGGAGGCAGAGCCAGGTGGATCTCTGTGAGTTCGAGGCCAGCCTGGTCTACAGAGAGAGTTCCAGGAAAGGCGCAAAGCTACACAGAGAAACCCTGTCTCAAAAAACCAAAAAAAAAAAAAAAAAAAAAAAAAAAAAAAAAAGAAATATAGAGATTTCTTATAGATTTCTAGCAGGATGCAGCTGGAATGGCACAATCTCTACTTCCTCTGTGGGCAGTCAAAAATCCTATCATTCATTCAATAAGCACTAGAGACCTAAAAAAATATTTATTATTGTGTGTGCATGTGTAGGCATGTACATGTGGAGGTCAGAGGACAACTTTCAGGAGCTGGTTCTCTCCTTCCACTGTGGGTTCCAGGGATCAAACTCAGGTTCCAAGTCTTGCATGACAAATGTTTTTGCACACTGAGTCACCCACTGGCCCTAGACTAAACAATCTTACCAAAAGCAACTTAAGGGATGATGGATTTATCTGGCTTACAATTAGAGTCTATAGTCTATCACCTAGGGGGAGTCTAGGCATGAATTCAAACAGCTTTTCACATCACATTGACAATCAAGAGCAGAGAAATGAATGGATTCTTGGTTGCTTGCTCTTCTATCTTATACATACATTTCAGAGTCCCAAACCAGGGAATGATGGCACCTTCAACAGGCTGGGACTCCCTATAGGAATTAACAATCAAGACAATGCCCCCATAGACATGCTCACAAGCCAATCTGATTTACACAATTCCTAACTTAGATTCTTTACAGGTGGTTCCAGGTGGACAAGTTGACAATTAAAAGCTAACCATCGTATCACAAAGGGAAAAAAATGACTACTCCAACAGGATGGGTTAAATAAAGCAGGGATAGAAGGGCAGAATAGAAGAGGGAGTATGGGAAAAGGCAACATTAAAAGCCTTTTGAAGACACTGCATAGAAGCCTACCTTCCTAAAATTTATACTTGTATAAAAAGAGTTTAAATAGAATTACCCTGTAGCCAGGCAACAATGTCTCCACTGGATATACCACAGGCTAACAAATAAAAAAGTCAGTGCCAAGAATGGACTACCTCTTTTGGTGGTGTTGCACAGACCTCCAAACATTACAAACTATTGCCATTGCTTTTGGTTACCCTTCAAAACTTGAGAATAAGACCCTATTGCTGAAGACACCACGTACTTGAGCCACAGAACATGAAAAAAATCAAACTGCTATTAACCTGGAAGCTTCATCCCTATTGACTAGCTTTTAGTGCTGAGTGCTCTGCATGCTACTAGGGAGTGGAGGGGGACGGTGGTCAATTTTTTTTTTTAATATATAATTTATTTTTATGTACATTGGTGTTTTGCCTGTATGTCTGTCTGAGAGTATCATGTCAAATGTGCTGGAACTGGAGTTACAGATAGGTGTAACCTGTCATGTAGGTGCTGGGAATTGAACCTGGGTCATGTCAAAAGCCCTGGAACTGGAGTTACAGATAGGTGTAACCTGCCATGTGGGTGCTGGGAATTGAACCTGGGTCCTCTGGGAGAGGAGTGCTTTTAACTGCTGAGCTACCTCTTCAGTCCTGGAATCACCAGTCTCATCCAGCTGTGCACTCTGCAAGCTACAATAATGTCCACTCTGGCAGGATATACCCAGTGATGCAACCACTAGCGGCACAAGTGCTACGGGAGTAACCAAACACATTCTGATTGGACTCAAGACCCTTCACATAAAATGGAACCCAGACCTGGCATTATCAGAACCAAGAACCTGTGGCTAGTTGGTCATAGACCATAGGAGGGAACCTACCACTATTACTCTGCTAAATAGACATAGTATTAAACAAACTCATGACTTATCACTATACCCATAGACTATCTGTCAGCCAGATAGTCTAGCCAAAATGGTGAGCTATAGTTTTAACCCAATCTCAATCTCAATCTTCATCAGAGAAGCTTCTTGCAGTAAATGGCAATCAACACAGAGATCCAATACTGGTCACGCTGCAGAGAATAAGAAGTTTTGGAGTGCTCAGCCCTAAATGAGACATCTGCATCACACCCTTCCCCTCAAGGCTCAGGAATCAAGCAAGACGGAAGAGTAAGGGCCAGAGACCACAAATGACTATAATGAAAGTGCTTCCCAGACACACCATGGCACTCTTACACAAATGAACTCACAGTGGTTGTATAACATGCACAAGACCTCTGCAAGCTCAAGCCAGACAAAATCCCAGCACAGAGGGGAAGGTGAGATGAGGTCTAACCCTAGCAGAGGAATTACTGGCAGCTTATGGGAGGAGTCAGTTGTCAGTTTAAAAGTGCGACCTCTTGTAGGCTGTCCACAGTCCAGTGGATGGAGTATTTGGGCAACACCAATTGGACTTGATGAGAGAAGGACAAAGAGGAGGAAGAAGAAACAGAAGCAGGAAAGCTGGGTGGGAAGGGAGATGGGAACTGATCTGGGAGAAGTTGAGAAAGGAGTGGATACGATCAATCTATACTGTATTAAGCCCTCAAAGCGAAAAAAATGTAAAAAAAACGATCACAGGTACATTGTAGGACAGACCATATTTCATGCTGATATTGAGTGATTTCAAAGCATCATTATAAGGTGCTATTAGGTGCTGGAACCTATGACTTGATTTTGACAAAAGATGCTGAATTGGTGTAAATACTAGAGGCTTTGTAATATGTCACATCCTACTAACACAGAACTAAATGCATTAGTTGCTTCCATATTTACATGCCAGTATGCTATTCATGATCAATCAGTCTGAAAAAAGGTGACTATGAGGCAACAAAATATTGAGAAACCATAATTACTTAACTTTTATTATAGTACATTGCTGAATTTCTTAGTTATTTCTGTTCATCTCCTACTGTAGTGAATTCATAAGTTTATCACAGATGCATATGTTTAGGGGCAGAAAATGATACACGTAGAGTTCTACACCCTCTACAGTTTAAGCTATCTACTGACATTCTTAGACCAACCATAGGATCTGGGGAGATGACTCAGTGAGCAAAATACTTGCTGTGTAAACATGAAGACACTGAGTGTGGATCCTAGCACCCATGTAAAATCCAACAGGCTAGCACATGTCTATAACCCCAGTACTGGAGGGATGTGGGGTCAGAGACTTGTTAGCCAGATAGTCTAGTCAAAGTGGTGAGCTATAGTTTTAACCCTATCTCAAGAATTAAGATAGGCGAAGACACAGGTATTGACTTCTTAGTTCCACGTGAGTATCTAAACACATAAAAATACACATGCATACATACACAAAATACTCAAATAATTAAATGATTTTAAAACACATTTATTAAGGAAAGTCTCTCTTATAGATAAGGGGACCATCATATTGTTCATTTCACTCAGCAACCTGTAGATGATGGAGGGAGGTACGAAGTGAGAGAAAAACTCACGTGACCACTTCACACTGGGTACAGTTTCATTATGGAAAACATGGGAAGATAAGCAATGAGAAATATATATATATGCTGCTTACTGGGGACCACAGTTGAAACCAAAAATGCTGTTAAAAAGGGGGAAATGTACTCACAAAATGTGGTAATATGAGTAAGGTATGGTGATACAGACTTGGAATTCCAGCACTTAGGAGGTGGAGCTGGGAAGTCCATGAGTTTAGGGTCATCCTCAGCTACACAGAGAGTTCAAGGCCAGCCCGAGTCCTGTTTCAAAATAAAACCAAATATGATACTATAGTTAACAAAGGAGAATATGCTTAACAATTGTTCCCCAGTTTACATGTGAGAATGGGGTAGCTGGCTGAGCACAACATTAATGCTAAGGACAACAATCTAAAATTTGAACAAGTGTGCTAGTTCCTGCACTTGTCCTTTATGAAGGACATTAAGGCTAAGGTACATTCATAATGCAGCAGCATCCTCCCTATAACAAACTCTCATTGCCATTCACACGTCAAACCCAAGCTATTCCTTGTAAAGTCTAGGCGTCTCAGAGACCTCTACCTAGGTACAGGGACTGGGAACAGGAGCCACTGTTCCTACAGCTGTAATTTATCAGAGGGCCCAGATTTGATACAATACCGGCAACACTGGCTTGGGCTTTAATATCCATGCCAGATTTATGGGATATCCATGACCTGGAGTATTATGGGCAGCTGGGTATGGAAAGTAAAGGCTCTATTTGTGATAACCTGTTCTCAGATAGCCCAGTAGGCATGTCATTTGCTGTCTTGATGTACAGCTCAAAGCTGAGAAGGGCAATTTCTTCTATCGGAAGAGTATGGCAACAAAAGGCTATCGGGGACAGATACACTACAAAGCATAAGAAATATTGATGAAACCTCTACAGTGAAGAAGCATCGAAGGACACTAACATGATTAGCTGTTAGTTTCAATTTGTCAATAAAACTTTAAAATAAGGATGTATCCCACCAGAACTAAAACGACATGGCCAGCAACACGGCTCAGTAGAAAAAGGTGCTCACCATCAATTCCAAGGCCCCACAGGGTGGAAGGAGAGAACCAACTCTCCCAAGTTGCCCCATGATCTCAACAACCCCCCAAGTAAGTGTAATTAAAAAATAAAGGAAAGGGTGAGTGAGTAAAAGATGTTGCATTTTTTTGTGTCATTTTAATACTGTGCCAGGGCCAGTGAAATGGTTCAGCGGATAAAGGTACTTGCTGCCAAGCCTGAAAAGCTGAGTTCTATCCCTGGAACCCAGAGGTTTGTAACAGACAATCAATTTCCATAAATACTGTGGCACTCCTACATGAGTGCAAGCACCCTACACATAGACAGACAGACAGACAGACAGACAGACACACACACACACACACACACACACACACATACACACACAAAATAAATGTAAAAATGAAGTGTGTCAAATGAAAATCCTGGAAGATACTATCAATGTCCTACTTGTGGTCCTAGAGAAAAGTGTATACAGTTAAGATGTTGTCTGAGGCCAGGTAGCATGCCTTTAAATCCAGCACTCAGGAGGTAGAGCCAGGCGGATCTCTGTGAGTTTGAGGCCAGCCTGGTCTACAGAGCAAGATTCAGGACAGGCTACATAGAGAAACCCTGTCTTGAAAAAAATAAAACAAAACAAAAAAATATGTTGTTTGAATGGACTGTGTGTGATGACAAAGTTGCTGTGGTACCTCAAAGGCAGACTGGAAAAGTATGCTGTGTTCAAGCAAGAAGAGTGAGGCACAGTACAGCTAACAAGCGGTTGAAATAGGCACCGAGGGACTGATGAGATGGTTCTGTGAGTACACTTGCTTGCCATGCAAGCCTGCTGACCTGAGCTCAACCCTCAGAACCCACCCACATCAGGTAATAGGACAGGGAGAGAACCAACTCTACAAAATTGTCCTCTGACCTCTACGCACATACCCACACACCCACATCACACACAGTAATAAATTAAATAAAAAGAAACAGGCATTAAAAGGAATATGTTAGCCCATATATAAGTAAAAAATATTTACAAGTTGTTGATTGAAGAGAATGAGTAGCAATATTGAGTACTGTATATGGGGCTTTGACTATGAAGTCACAACACTGAGGTCGCAGTAAAACACTGCAAGGCACCATCTGTGTCTATCTGATCCATGAAAATTAATTATATACATTTTGGATTAGATCAGAATATAGAACTATTTTATTACTTACATCTGACAAAATTTATCACATATATACTTTATATTATTCACATTAAAATGCAGACATATAGAAATATATAGATCTCAGTAGTCATAAGGCAGGAGCAAGAGGAAACATCAGTTACATAGTGAGTTCCAGGCCATCTAGGGCTACACGGCAGGAATCTATCTCAAAAACCATAAATGGAAACATAAAGACTGATGTACTCACATAATCTACTAAATTACATTGTATTTTAAGCTCTTGAATGGGGCTCATTTTGAAATCATTAACTCAAGGTGGACACACCTATACTCACAATGCTGGGGAGCCTGAGGTAGGAGGATAGAGGCCAAGGCTGACCTACCCAACACAGCAAGACCAATCAATCAATCAATCAATCAATATTTTTGGAAAACCTAAAACCTGAAGTTTAAAAGTCCCTTTATTTTGCTCATTTGAGTTCACAGTCAGCAAAAATGCTGCTTGGGGAAAGAGAGGAGCGGGAGGAGGAGACACAAAGGAGAAAGAACCATTCACCAGAGCAAGATTACAAAGCAAAAATTAAATAACACTCATAAATATCATCCCCAAACAATATAAATTCAAACACAGACTCTCACTATGTAATGCTGGTGGCCTCCAACTTGTGCTTTCCTGCCTCAGTTTCCCAAGTCCTAGTATTAGAGGTATATATCACTCAATGATTTTTTTTTTAGCCTCAGTTGCCCAAGCACTAGATGACAGGTCACCCGTGCAAATACAGCTTCTGAGAATACAGGTGAGTGCTCGTATTCACTTAAAATGGCCAAGTGACTTCCCTTTTCACAACAAATGCCTTGTAGTTACAACTAAAAATCTGCTTATTTTCCCAAAATAAGTTTCAAATGAAGTTAAAAAATTGATTCAGCTATATAGGTAAAAGACCTGGAAAAAGGAGAAAAAGATTAATGTATGTCAAAATAAAGTGTACATATGTCCTCTGACCCCGAAACACTCGTCCTTGAAAGCTTACTCTGACAATATACCTACCTCCATAAATACAAGGAAGGGGGGATAAAAAGGCTGACAAATTGGCTAAAGGCACTTGCAGCATAAGCCTGTCTACCTGAGTTGGGTCACTAGAACCCACATAGGAGGAGGATAGAATCAACTCCACAAAGTTGTCCTCTGACCACAACCATGTCACCATCATTAAGGTATGAGCGTGTACACATTAAAAAAAAAGTGGGGGGGGGACATGTATTCACTGCAGGTGACTAATGGATGTTAAAAAAAACTAGGTGGGATGAGAGGTGGGCTCAAGACAGTCCTCCTGTCAAACTATTGGCCTACAATTTTTTATTTAAAAGGACAAACCTCTGTAAAACAAAGCACTGGGGCTGTGGCTGGGTGCAGAGTGCTCGCCTAGCATACCCAAGTCCCTGCTCTAATGGCCAAAGTGCTGTGACAGGCAGGGCCTTTAGCGAGCACCAAAATTAGGACCCCAACTGGTGCCTCCCTGATAAAATATAATCCAAGTATGTGATATCTACCAATTGTCTTCCACATAACCTTTTGAAGCCTCTGGAGCTGGCAGTGGAAGCTATGGCACCCAAATTTACTGAAAGCAAGATGTGCCTGTTAAGCTAGCACTTGGGAGATGGTGGTAGGAGTCCAAATTCAAGGCCAACCTAAGCCAATAATAAGCTTAAGACTTGCCTGAACTACATGACACCTTGCCTCAAAAAAGGGAAGGCTGTGCCTAGTTGTTCACCCATGGATCGCAGCTTGTCTACTACATGTATACAGCCAATTAATTGGTAACCTTTATGGCTTATAAACAAGTATAACATGGACATCTTTTGGTTTTATTTTTTAACACAAGGTCTTGGTATGTCCAGGGGGACCTCAACTTGCAGTGATACTCTTGCCTTTCCCACTCAGCTGTTGGGATTGCAGGTGTCTGCCACCAAGCCCAGCACAATACGGAAATCTTGAATGGATCATACACCTCCACATACCCAGAAGCTTGTTGGTTGTTTTTGTTTTTGTTTTGTTTTGTTTTTCGAGACAGGGTTTCTCTGTGTAGCTTTGCGCCTTTCCTGGAACTCTCTCTGTAGACCAGGCTGGCCTCGAACTCACAGAGATCCGCCTGCCTCTGTCTCCCGAGTGCTGGGATTAAAGGCGTGCGCCACCAACACCCAGCTTTTTATTTCTTTTAAACAATGTGGAGAACTCTGAATGTTTATAGATCAGATATCACATTGCATCATTTTAAATTTTCAGTTCTTTTTTTTGTGTGTGTGGTGCTGGGAATTGAACACATGTCGGGCAAGTGTTCTACTACTGAGCTAAATGCCCAACTGGTTTTTAATATGTTTCTTTTTCTTTTTTTTTTTAAGAGATAAGATCTTAGCCGGGCGGTGGTGGCGCACGCCTTTAATCCCAGCACTCGGGAGGCAGAGGCAGGCGGATCTCTGTGAGTTCAAGGCCAGCCTGGACTACCAAGTGAGTTCCAGGAAAGGCGAAAAGCTACACAGAGAAACCCTGTCTCGAAAAACCAACAAAAAACAAAAAACAACAAAAAAAAAGAGATAAGATCTTATGTGATCCAGGTTGGCCTAAAATTTACTATTTAGCCAAGGATGACCTTGAACTCCTAATCCTCCTGCTTCTATGGATTAAGTGCTGGGATTCCAGGAGTATGGGCTACTACACTCAAGTTTATATGGTGTTAGAGATTGAACCTAGGGATTTGTACATAATAGGCAAACACTCTACCACTGAGCTGCATACCCAACTCTATTCTCTAACTTTCTTGATCGAAATCTAGTAATCTTGTTTTGTTTTTCAAGACAAGGTTTCTCTGTGTAGCCCTAGCTGTCCTCAAACTCAGATACCCGCCTGCCTCTTAAAGGCATGCGCCACCACAACCCTGCCATGGTCCCCTTTATTCTGTTTACATCTTAGCAAATAAATCACCATACAATATATTTATCTATTAGAGGAAAGAGCAAATAAACTTCTGCAAAAAGATGAATGTACCACAACAGATTCTGGACCATCTAATATGCAAGTACATTTAAGGTTTTTTTAAAAAGAGAAATGGGGAGGGAATGTTGTGGGAGAGAGAACACTAATTTATCAATCTTAACAGTTAATTCTACGATTTTTAATTAAACTTCCCACATTTCCTCTGTGAGGTCCGTATTTTTAAGCAGTTTAGTGATGCACAGGCCTAAGAACTAAGAGAAAATATTTGTAGCATGCACAAGGTCCTGGATTTGATCATTAGCACAAGCGCACAAAAGGGATGGAGGAACAAACACAGGCCTAGGAACTTTGTACAGAACAGCCTAGTATTATTGTTTGTTGGGTTTTTGCTTGTTTTTTAATACAGTGTTTCACTATGTAGCACTGGTTAGCCTGGAACTCATTATGTATACCAGGCTAGCCTGGAATTCATAGAAATCCTCTTGCCTCCTGAGTGCTGAGATCTGAGGCATGCACAGCCACACTCGGCTGAGTTTTCTTAAGGGGACTTGAGTTCTATCAACGTTTATACTCTCTCACCAGAAAGAAGAACACTCTAAGTAACTAAGCATGTCTTTGTATCTGAAGCTAACAGTCAACACACACACACACACATACACACACACACACACACACACACACACACACACACACCAACAATATGAGTCAAGTTTTCACCCGAGACATTCGTTTCTAATTTTTTTAAGGAATACGGCCTTTTCCAAAAGCCACCGTTCACTAAGTGCTCACCAAAGGCGCTGAAATCACAAGGTTTATGATGCTGGTCACTCCAACTACTCCAGCGAAAACTCGTTCCCTTCTGTGGAGAAAACAAAAACAAAACAACCAGCTTTTTTCCATAAAAGTTGCTTGGGCGGCTTTTGAAGAGCGGGAGATGCAGGCACCGCCAGGACGCGCCCTCCGGGCACTTTCCACGCGGTGACTGACAGCCTGAGAGCCTCAGCCGTGGCCACGGGAGGAGCCGCGGCGGGCGGAGCGGAGCTCAGCACGCTCGTCCTGTATCCTCCCACCAACCTCCAGGCCGTCCCCGGACCGCGGAACTCACAAAGGCCACAGCCCCCAGGGAACGCCTCCCTGCAGACAGGGACCGGAAGAGACGGTCGCGGCCCTTACGTCACTTCCGCTCGCGCTTCGTTTACTGCGGGGTCGGGGCTCGGATCCTACTTCATTGCGTTCCCTTTGTCAGAATTCTGGTTTCTTCGCAGTATGAGGGCGGAGGCGCCGGGCTAACTTCACAGCGGGAGCTGGAGGCCAATTTTGGCCTCGAGGACAAGACAGAATTGGAACCCAGGCTGTGGGCCGGGCCAGGGGTGGGAGCGGAAGTCATCGGTGGCGCCCAGGCCCTGTCACGTAAGCCCTTCCAGCCCAAGGTTTCCTGTGGGTACTCCGCCCACAGGAAGCTCATCAGAAACTTTTCCTGCCTGCCTCCGTCGCGTTAAAACCCTTGCTTTCCAGAGCTCCCTAATTCAGTAGGGAACAGAAGGCAGGCTCGCTTCCGCAATTATCTGGACCTCTCAAGGTGTTGGGATTGCTTTGGGCAGTTTGCAACAATAAACGGTGCTTCAACAGATCGACCCTCAACCCACTCCACCAAGCTCAGGAGCCACTGGAGGAATTTGAGATGCTGGAGGTTTTTGATTGGAAATCCTGAAATAATTACTGAGTGGGTCTTAGCTTCTCCTAACCCTATCTGCATCTTTCCCAGCAGTTGTTTTCCCAGTTCTCGGTTCTGTTGAATGCCCCGGGTACCGAAACAAAAAGTGAACGCAAATCTTGTTGTTATTTCAGGTCACAGGAAAAATGAATGCGCAGTCATTCAAACAGTTCTGTTGGATACTGACGCTCCTTTGATACACGAAGGGCTTAACAACCCACAGTTCAGTAGCTGAGAACTGTAATGTTATTAGACGCCTTTTGAGGAACTTCCAGAACTGAATTCTCTTGACTTCTGTTGGTCAAACTGAGTCAAGACCAGCTCACATAAAAGGGAAAAGGAGATGCTACTCCACCTTCTGATGAACTTCAAAGAATTTATGGCTGTGATCAAGAGACCCATTTTGCCCCCTCTGCCATAAATTTGTCCAGTCAGGGGCTTGTGTTGCCATAGAAACATTATGCCAATAAGATTTCTCAATAAGAAATCATTGCACACTTAAAACTGAAGGAAAAGCTCTTTATTAAGCACACTGCCAAATGGGGCTAACGCCCAAATAAGAGCTGGCCTCAAATAGAAAATTTTGCTAACTTATATACACCTTGGGGTTATGCATTTTACACACAGTCATCCTTAAATCTTCTAGGTCCCAGCTTACACTTTTAACATTTATAAACAGAGACAGGAGACTGCAAGTCTAGCCACCTGGACAGAGAGATGATTTACAAAGCAAAACATTGCCAAAATTATTTAAGTACACAGTGTTGCTCTTTTCAAACAGATGTGACCCAGGGTCATGTTGCCCTTTCAACAGAACTATGCTTTTCTCAAGAAAAGAACTGGGAATTTACAGCAGGCCAGGACTTAACATCCATTGTGACCCTGCGCTGCTCCCTGGAGCTGCCTGTTAAAGGCATGTTCTTTGGGGATGAGACTAATGGCTGACCAGTCAGGCCTGTGAACAAACATTTACATCATGAATCATGAATTTGCTTATCTCTACCAGTCTTGAGTAGCACACTACTAAGTTTGGGGTATTGGGGGGCGGGGGGAGGGGGCAGCACTTCCTTGGCTAAATTCTACTTTGATTTAGTATCTCCTCAGCAAATATATTAAATCCTCTATAACATCAATTGTTCCTTTGATTTTCTTCTATGTCAGTATAATGGTACATTCCCTTCTAGGTCTCTGCAATTGTGAGCAAATATATTAAATCCTCTATAACATCAATTGTTCCTTTGATTTTCTTCTATGTCAGTATAATGGTGCATTCCCTTCTAGGTCTCTGCAATTGTGATGCTCACTCAGGAAGTGGATGATGGGAATCTGTATGCAAACTGTCTAGTCTACTCGGGTAGAAAGAAACAATATTAACAGATTTTATTTTAAAACTGGATTTAATGTTTTAGAATAGCAACTAAAATAAAAGTAAATGGAGTACATAGATTTCAAGCACTAGGTAAAATTTCAATGAAAATATCATTACAAAGAGAAGGTACATGCAACAAATACAGAAGAAGAAAAAAACCAAGTTGCTAAAAATCCAATTTGTTACTCATTGCATTATACATAATGGTCTAAAACAATTGTTAATCAGTATTTTTCAAGTATTCAGAGTTTTAAAACTCCAACTAAAGTATGTATAAAAGACACACCTACAGCTGGGTTATAAGTCAGTGGTTAGCATGTGTAAAGCCCTAAGTCTGAATCCTAGCACCCCCCACAAAAAAAATTTTTTAACTAAGGATACAAAAAGCTTATTATATATATATAGAGAGAGAGAGAGAGACAGAGAGAGAGAGAACGCCATGTAAATACCTCCCAGAGTGAATGGAATAAAAACTATATCAGAAAGTTTAAATATTTCAAGATGATTTTTCCCTCCCGAATCATTTACCAGGCCCCCAACTCCACCTTTGGGTGCATTTGTGTTTGTTTGTTTGTTTTTCTGTTTTATTTTGGATTTTAATCTTTAGTGTCTCACAAAGTAGCCCAGGCTCAGGCTACCCTTAAATCTGTGACCCTCCCGACTTGGCTTCCAATCTCTAAGTGGGTGGTAACACACTCTGCTTTTGAGACAGATACTCTCTGAAAGAATACTGGATACTTTCAAGATCAACTCAATGGAAATACAAGAAGAAATCATTGCAGAATGCAAGACAGACCCAAAGTAAATTTAATTATACAACCAGGAAATATTAGGAATACAAGAAAAAAATAAATTTTTGCTTTATATTTGAAAATGAAAGCATGCCTAGAAAAATATACTCAAAAAATTTAAATGATATTGTAAATATTAGGTGTCCTATAAACATAAAAGATATCGAACAGTTTAAGATAAGGTACCCAAAACAGTATCAACTATTCTAGATCAGGATAACTGAACAGGTTAAGAATTTAGAAAAGTGAGGAATACACTTAATTGTAGTATATGACACTGTTCTAATCTACAGCTAAAAACCAGTCAGTTCATTTTAAAAATTTGTTTTGGTGATGCTGAGGATTGAAACCAAGGTCTTGTACATTGATTGCTAAACAGGCACTCTACCTATCCCCTACTCCATTTCTTCTTGCACAAGGAAAACTTACACGTCAATGTTACTCAAGATTATCTATGATAATCTTTATGTGAGTAAACGTAATCAACACTAAGTAGTAAAAATGATCCATTTGCCTCAAGAGTGTAGCTCAGTGTCAGAGTGCCTGCCTAATCCTGGGTTTGTTTGATCCTCAGCAATCACACAAAACAAAAATGATCCTTAATGTCCAAGTTGAATATATCTAGAAATTTAAGGTTAACATGAGACAACTAATATATAATCATCATTAATAAATGACTGCTTTTATTTTAGAGTCCTTTTACTCATTCCAGTATTTATTAGGTATTACGGACCAAGGAAATCCTAGGTACTTTAGTCTTACCAGCAAATGAGTACAGTCATCACAGAAGATACAGGGAAAGCAATGAATGAATGAATCCAAGAGGAATTTTACTTCGCCAATAAAGAAATACTATAAAATCATTATGTAAAATTCAGATATTAAAAAAAACTAATAAGCAAATCAGTATGATGGAGAGCATACCTCATTATAATTCTAAAGAAAATATGCTTTTACTACTTTCACTAGTGTGCTGGACATCATACTCATTTCTGTAAAAACAACAACTAAAATAGAAAAAAAATCATCATTATCTACAGGTATGACTACCTGTCTGGGAAACCAAAAGAATCTGTACATACATGTACTGAACTGATGACCCTCTCAAATTCAGGTTAAATCTAACCCACAGCATGATTGTCCAGGTAGGGTCTTTAGAATTTCATTTGTTAGGCAAGGACAATGAGTGGAAACCTCACCCAACAAGGCTATGATTTTATCAGAAGAGGAAGAAAACCTCATTTTCAGGCTTTGTCATGTGAAAGAGACTGCATGCCAGTAAAAGTCTGCAGCAGAAGTCAAACATGCTGTTATTTTTTTTAATGTGTGTGTATATATGCAGGCTGGTGTGTGTTACACATTTGCACATGGCATGTGGAAGCCAAAAGATAATGTCAGGTGTCCCCAATCGCTTTCCACTCTATCAAAGCAGGGTCTCTTGCTGAACTCAGAGCTCATGGATTCAAGTAACCTAGCTACTCAAATCACCTGAGGATTCCCATCTTGCTTCCCAAGCATTGGGATGACAGGAGGGCCTCCATGCCCACCTGGCAGTTAGATGGGTTCTGAGGATCCAAATTCTGGTCCTCATGTTTGCATGGCAAGAGCTTTCCCCTCGGAACCATTTCAATAGCTCCCATGCTGTTTTCTTGTATGAGAAAGTAAATTGCTGTATATTATCTGTCCAGGGCTGGAGATAAAAACTAGTTCTGCATATGCTAGGCAAGGACTATTACCACTGAGCTAAACCCACAGCCCTAAATTCTATCCAAAAAGTGGTAAGCTAATGAGAATAGAGTACAATAACATGTAAATATGAAAATGTCATAATGGAACCCAATACTATGCTAACCTAAAATTTCATTTCTTTTAAAATGAATTTTAAAACAACTTGGTTTATGTTTTTTGTTGTTGTTATATTTATGGTGTACATAAGTGTGTGTCCAAGCTGTGGTATGAATGTAAAGTAGAGGACAACTTGTAGCAGTCCATCCTGTGCCTTTACTATGTAGGTCCCTGGGATTGACCTCAGTTCCTGATTTGATTTAAACCAGGTAAAGCACCTTTAGCTTCTGAGCCATTTTGCCAGTGCCAGCTATGGTGTTTTGTGGTACTGGGGCACTGCAGTAAAAGAACACTTAAACAGATGCAAGTAACTTTGAAACTGAGTGACAGGTAGACACTGTTCTGGTGAGGGCTCCCTTAAGAAGGAAGAACATGTTACT